TGGCCCTCACTGGTTTCTGGAATACAAGAATACTCCCAGTCTGGTTCAAATCCTGCCTCTGCCAGGAATGACTGAAAGACATTGTAATGTAACAGCTGCTTGGTGGCCAGTGTGAAATGAATTAGTTATCTCAGTCTGCTGCATGGTAGGCAGGGGTCCACATCAGAACAGCCACTGTCACAACCAGAACTAAGTGGCACCCTCAGAGCAAAAGACAAAACTAAAGGGATAGTGGAGACAAAATTGACCTCCTCCTTCCAGAGGTTATACTCCCAAACCAAAGAAGAGGTTGTATGAGAAAATATCAAGATGGAATCCTTCTACAGTCAAACTTATTCTGGTGGCAAGACACCGTTAAAGTATACCAGTACAATAGCTTTAACCACCAAGAAACCACTTCATTGTCAAAGAAATGAAAATACGAAAATGGGAAAAAATCACTGTGTTCTAATCATTCTGGCTGAAACAGAAAAGTCAGTCCTCAGGAAACACCAAATTCAAAGATCAGAAATAGATTTTTTGGGATGAAAGAAACGTCATGCACGAGCCACAAAACGTGTTCGAAGGAAAGTCTTTTGGACAATATAAACCCGAAAGAACATGAAACATCCAAAGGTAGGTAGTCAAGAGAACGTAACACATCATCTTGACACGGAGGGAAGTGGTTTTTCTTGGCTGTGTTGATAGTTGTGCAAATTCATACTAACAGGAGCAAGTTTGCACCCAAGAATTACTCATTTTTTTCCCTCGCTCTGCCAACAACATGCCGTTGTGCTCAACAAAGAGTTAAGATTGTGTGAAGTGAGAACTTGAGAGCCCTCTTGCAGAAAGAACTTCTGGTGAACTTCCTATCTGTTAAGGTCTCTCTTAAGCAGTTTTCTCTCCCTTATAACCCAAATATTTTTTGGTAGGGTAACTCTGCACCTGCAGCCTTTGGCCAACTGTTACCTGGTCTGTTTGCCTCTTAAGGGAATGCCTTCCTATTTGGCCCCTAGTGTCCTAAATAAGCCACTGCTGTTGATGCTGCTGCAGAAGCAGCTCAGACCTTTGTTGTATTTACTGCACAGGCAGTTGCCCTCTGGGCTGCATTTTACAGAGTTCTCCATTTTCCAGAGCCAGATGCAAAGATGCTAAAGGCAGAAAACTTGTTGCTACTTAAACAGCACCTGTAAATACAAGGATTATGAGATCCTCCTACAGCTTCTTCTGCGACCTGCTGTAAAGGCTAACCCAGGGCAAGAAGGGGAGTCTTGGTTCAAAGCTTTCTTTAGTTAACGTGTTTTAATGATGGAGCTCGACAACCCTGGGGATTGAAGTCTTTTATTTATCTCAGCGAGATTACACAGCAGGAAGAATACCAGTGTTGGCTTTCCCATGATTTGTTGTAAATATCCTTCACTACTGGTCAAAAAAAGATATAATCTCTTAGTAAGAGACAGAGTTCAACTGTCCCATCTTTTTTTTTGTCTCTGCTGAGAGCGTCAAAAGGCCCAACAGAAGGGGTTAGTGACATGTCTCTCCTGCAGAGATCTCCACAACTGACTTCTCAGCCCTTTTACACTTACAAAACAATCATCAGGCAGTTGCTGGGCATCTCTCTGCTATTTCTGAACCAGAAACCTAACACTGAACGTTGTGCATGCCCATGACAACCCTGATAAACTGTTTGTTTCACAAACAGTAGGATGATCCCTGGATATCCAGGCAAGTAATTAGCTCAGACTACCTGCTCACTATTTCTGAATGCTAGGAAAAAAAAAAAGGAGTCAGGCACTTTGGGAAGCTACAAGTGAAGCTGATAATGGCTTTCTGCCTGATACCCCAAGTATTGTTCTCGGTACCCAACGCTGTAAAAGTTATCTGTACAAAATTGTTCTTTTATAATATGACAAGGAGTCCCTGATGCACACACTTTTTCCATGCCGCTTCTCTCCTGACCCTGAAAATAGCTAGTGTGTGTATGTATGTATATATACATATGAGCCATAAGAGCCTTACTTACTGCTAAGTCAGGAAAATTTGCTCTAGGAGTTGCTATTATGTATTATCCACTTAAAATGAATAGCTAGCTTAGAAGATTTAAAAAAAGACAGCCTTTCAGATTTTCAAATAACTCCATTATATTGAAGGTAGATAATAACAACACAGGTTAAGAAGGTATTTGGTGTAGCACACAGCTTCAGTATGATATTAATGATCTTCAAAATGAAGCCTGAATACACCCAAACTGTATATCCCCCCCAGATTTCTCCTGCACCCAGACTCTATCCCAGCATGTACTCCTTTGGCTGGGCAAATAAAAGTCTGTGGATTTGCAGTCAATCTAACAAACATTTCCCACAACCCAGTTATCTCCTCTGTTGGAAACTCCAGAGAAGCAAAGCAACAGTTTAAACATGTTCTCAATAAACTGTCAGTGATACTTTACTCTGAGGACACAAGAATTGCTACAGACATGGAAACATGACCTTCACCCTGCCTCATAATGCTCCGGAGCAAAAAGCACTTTTTCATCTCCTGGTTTTGTCGTTTTTACCTTAATGAGGATCTAGTTCATGACCAAAATTCCTATGTGCTGTTGTAATGCTACTAGTGTGATCTTAGGAAAGCTCAACTGGCTTCAGGTAGTCCATCCTGTAAGCCCGTGCAGAATGGCCAGGCACAGGACAACCTCTCGTGCTTCCCCGTCAGCTAACCTTTAAGATCCACAAAGATCTTCCAGCCTCTTCCTTAAGAAGTTTTCTGCAGAGTCAATTTTTACCACCTTCATGTGATATGTTTTATCTGACTTGCATATTCCTTTTTTTAATCCAGCCTTATCATTCATCCGACCTAAATACTTGGTCACTAACCCTGACAGTTTTGCTCTTCAATGCCTGGCATGATGCTCAATTAATAAATAATCCATCAGCCAAACTATATGTGTGTTTGTGTGCATTGTGTAATGTGTGTTTACACATCAGACAGGCACATGTATGCACTCTATTTGTAAATAAACCCTCAGTTTTGCACTATTTCACTGCATGTATTACAACACATAAATATAATTTACATTGTTAAAGGTCAGTAAAGGGATCTAACACTTTAAATTTGATGAGTACTGCAGGGAAGGACAGAAAAAAAGCTCACTTTTAAGATGATAACCATGGTAACCGGCAAGATAATCATGTTATGTCCCTCAGTGCAAATCTGAAATGGCCTATTTTAAATGCAGGTCAGAATTTTTTGTCACCTCTTCTGGTGGTGTCTTCCAGCACTATGGCTATCCCTGCTTACCCACCCCACCAATTCTACAGCTGCAGATTATTTTTCCCAAAGTTTGTAGGAGACATGCACCAGCCCAAGATGAAACGGTTTTGTCAGTCCCAGATCTCAGGTTAATTCCACCTAATAACTAATACGTACATTTATTGCCAGACAGCCCTTTCAAACATGGATGCTGAATAGTTTTGTAAAAGTGAAGAAACTTCCCCTTATTTCACACCTTCAGAAGCCAACGCAGAGGGAAGTCAGGGTTGGAAAGCCATTTTACTGTAAAGCAGGGAATGCAATTCTTATACTTACCCACTTCCAGTATTTCACTCTAAACATTCACTGCCTTTCCAAATACATACTTCATTCCAAAATTAATTTATCACAAAAGCATAACGATGCTTGCCATTGTTAAAGAACGCGACGTGCAATTTTGCAGGCAAATGCCCTTCATTAGTGAATGTGCTTCACCATCTTTGGACGAAAGACAATGTACAAACATCAATTCAAATAACACCGTGAATAATTTATATCTTTGTTACTCTTTGGTAAGATAGCAACTGTCTGGTTTAGAAAAAATAAATCTCATAGTCATTACAGTAGATGTTCCACGGTAAAACAGACATGTGGCATTACTGAAAGTACTGCCAACAACCTGAATTTCTTATCTGTGTCCTATATGCTTTACAGCAATGCTGCTAAAAATTGTGCCCTTCTAAAGTCCTTTCCTGTAGCAGCCCACTTTTCAGTGCCACATCATCCGTTGTAGGAATGACTTACGCTGATCAAATACACGCGACGCTCAAAAAAAATTAGTAATTTACAGAAATACAATCAGCGAGCGTTTTTGATCCTAATTTAATGAGACACGGGATAGGATTCTAGGGAACCAGAAGAAGGCAATCAGAGGAAGAAAAGGTGGTCACTCACCTTTCCACCATGTGTGTCTGGTCCAGCGATAACCCATCAATTGCTGTGCATTCTGGACATTTGAACTTCTTTCGTGGGGTCACCTGCAGAAAGGCACGCCAGATATCATCAAATATCAACAGGAGGGACATTAATCTCCTTGCACGGAGAGCAGCGCGATACCTCTGAACATGCCTGCGGTGTAAGCTGAGCTGTCTCAAAAAAAGGGGGGGGTAAAAAAAAAAAAAAAAAAAAGCCACTCCATTCCTCCATTCAGCTCCATCTGGCCCGGCTGACTGCAAAATTCACAGGGGCCCAATAAAAACGGCTTGGAGGGGTTTTTCCTTCTGGAGCTGAAAAGAAGTGGCGATGACAAGCTCCTTAATTCCTGTTTAATGACTGTTTTCTCACTGCCAAGGTCCCTGTATAAACACCATTTGTTCTTGCAGCCATAACAGCGATGAAATATAGCTTCCCATGCTTCACCGTAACGTTAATCCAACAGATGCTCTTTTGCTCACTCCAGTTAAGAGCTGACTGGCAAACTCTGCGAGGCTCTCCGAATCGCACAGAGGTGCCAAATTACTCTGCTGTGCCCTCAGACAGCTCAAAAACTTTTTTTTTCAGCAAAAACACACACTTTATCTTCTACAGACTTTTCTAGGAAACGCAGTCACCAGTCCCGGTCAACGATGATGGACAGATGGGAAAACGGATCCTGTTAATTGAAGTAATGCCTGGTGGCCTCTAAATCTCATTCCAAGCTGACACACTTTGAAATGAATGTACAGAGTGAATGTCCAGACTTGAAAACGTGTCGAAACATGTCAGGAAATTAATTTCAGGGATAAAAAGTTCATTTAAAGCTGATATTGCAATTAACATTCTTGCAATTAACATTCCTATAAATCAGCTGTTGCCAGGCCGTGACAGAGCGAGCTGTGGACAGTTGGCAATTTCTTTCCTCTAGTGATCTCAAATATTTAAAATATAGGTATGTGGCCATGTATATATTCACACACACATACCTACAGCTATCACTTAAATTACTTTTCTCATATCTCATCTAGGTGGCTAAAATAACCACCAGAAAAAACTGGTAAAAACCAATTCTCTGTTCCCAGTTAGCACAGAAGTTTCATGGAAAGAGCTTTTCTATCATGAAAGGAGAAGACACCACCATACTAGGGGCAAATGAGAGAAATAGGAAGATGAAGCAATATATGGAAGCCTACTAAATAAATTTATATGAGCATGCACATCAAGTTTTTAAAGTCTGTAAAGCTAAACTTTAGAAAAGTCCCACCTTAATGACTGATTTGCCAGTGACATTTGCCACTAGGAAATTCATGGCAATATCTTCACAGTTCATATGAGCATCCACCCAGTTCTTGATGTCTCCAGGCATTTTGTAGGTGTAAAGATAGTTGAAATACTGCACGACAGATCAAGACATAAGATAATTTTAAATACAGAGGTAGTAACTATAAAACTTTACATATTTCAGTCACTGAACAGCAGGTATCTAAGGATGGATGATGGGCAAACTGTGATACTGCCTTCAGCCAAGGACTACTTTGACAGACAGAAAATAATTTTTGGGTGCTAAATTGCATAATTACTCCTTTCCTGACCAGCACACAAATTTCTTTACAATCAGTTTCCTTTTCTTAAACTGCTAGCTACAAAGCTACATTCACTGCAAAATCCACTACGTGGTTAATGGGTCCTGCAAACTGGGAAGAGTTCTGAAAGTTCACGAAAGTTAAGTTTTATTTTACAGGCAGAAACAAATCAGTTTTCCCACAGCAACTGAAAGAGAAAGAGGCTTAGGGAAAGCTTGCAGTTAGTTCTCTGACTGTTGTAGAAAATACAATCATGGCACTACAAAACACAGAACGACGACAGAAACACACACAGCTCTTTAAAACAGGTTCATGTTGTACATCAGCACAAGTTGTGTATTACCTTGTGATAAAAGGCTGCCCCAGTGAGCACCATGGAGACTTCATTGGTCCATTCCGATTCATACTTCCATTTGTTCATCTCATGGTCCCAGAGATGCAGGCGGCCTGGATACCCAACCAACCTGTCGGGGAACTCGCGCCAAACCTGAAGGGAAAAAGCCGTCACACGCTGCTACCCAGACCTGCACATGCAGATGCAACACGTCTGCTTCGGGAGGTGCTGCAAAGACCACTTCAATTCTTCTACGTTTCCATTCTTGAAACTGGAAACTGCCTGGAAGAAGTATGGAAGAGCCCAAGCTTGCTCTGGAAGGACCCTATGACTCAAAGAAGCCATATCCCAGAGTAAAAGGTCACTAAAGCAATAGTGCCTTCCTTTTTGTAGAGAAATACAACCAACTATTCAAAAAGATTTCAACACCAACTAAATCCAAGCATGATTAAAAGGGACCTTTTGATGTGAACTTCAGTAGATATGGCTACAACCTAACTACTTTCACAGCTGGCTTTGGATCTAACCAACCTGCTTTCTTTGATACAAACAGGCTTAAAACAGGCTTACATTTTAATATTTCTGGTATTCTTTAGTGGGTGCTTGGATGGATCTACTGCTCCATGGAAGGCCTCTTTGCCCTTGACTTGTTCCAGACAGCTGGATACAATCAAGATACCATCCTTGTCACGCCATACGTTATTTTGTAGCTGACCACAGGATCAAACACAGTAGACAAGAACAAGGAGAAGGGCATCATTAACGCAACCCCAGTTCTCCACACTGTTGGCCATATTAAATAATGGGCAATTTCTGCGTTAGGAAAAAAAGGGAGAAAAGATTATAATTATTTAGCAGGGTCTGAATGCTATTTGCTTGCTAAACACACAGCACGTCTTTTTGCTGATCAGTAACAAAGTTAGCATTTATCTGCATTATTTGCAGACAAACCACTCAAGAATTATCCTTCAATCCAAATAACTGCTAAGTTTGTTGGAAGAATACGAGTCTTGACTCTCCAACACACAGTGTCAGGTCACAAGAGTTTCTGTTTCAGGTCGGCAGGGTGTAAATCAACATGCACATCCCCAAATTTCATTGTGCATGCAAGACCACCAACAACGAAATATCTCATAAATCCCCAATGGTCACTTCATGAACAAATCTCTTTTCTCTGTACAAAAGGCAAGGGAACTCTACAGCTGAAGGTGCAGTAAGGAAAGCGTTATCTGGAATTATAGAATGATAGAATGGTTTGGGTTGGAAGGGACCTCAAAGATCATCCAGTTCCAACCCCTCTGCCATGGACAGGGACACCCTCCACTACACCAGGTTGCTCAAAGCCTCATCCAACCTGGCCTTGAACACTTCCAGGGATGGGGCATCTACAACTTCTCTGGGCAACCTGTTCCAGTGCCTCACTACCCTCAGAGTGAAAATTTTTTTTCTTATATTTAATCTAAATCTCCACTCTTTCAGTTTAAATCCATTGCCCCTTGTCCTATCACTACACACCCTTGGAAAAAGCCCCTCTCCAGCTTTCCAGTAGGCCCCCTTTAAGTACTGGAAGGCTGCAATAAGATCAGTACTTAAAGGTACTTAAAGAATTCCACCATCCAGCAAACCTCACCTCGTCAGCAGTTCACTTTGGGCACTTTTTATGTGCCAGTATGTTTCAGCTGGGAGGCCTGGACTTCAAGGACTCTATGCAAGTATTTTGTCACAGTAAATATGATAAAACCATCAGCTTTAAGTTATTGCTTCTGTATCTACATTTCTGTGACTCTGCATTACTATATCCCTTTTCATCTATACATCTCAACACGTTTTATTGCTGTCAGTTAATATAGCTTCAGAGTCCCAGGATAAGAGCAGTTATTATTTCAAACGTACAGATGAGGAAACCTGCCAAAAATCATACAGGAAACAAGAATAGGAACCAGATCTTCTAACTCCTCAACTTGTACTTTATCCAGAAATCAATCTTTCTAGACAGTTCTAGGGCACAAATGCTGAGATAGTATTTAGATAGGACAACACTCCAACATAGAGGGCTCCTGAAAAGAGAAATGACTTGGAACCCAAGGAAGAAAATTCATAAGGCATTGTTACAAGTTGGTGCCATCAAGTAACTAAAAAAAACCCCACAGATTTTTGGCAGGCAAGCCAGTGAGGGCTTGAGATATCTATTTTGACAGAATGTCAAAAACATTAATAAAGAACAAAACCCCAAAGATATGGACACTCCCTCTTCCAAAATTTTACTCCTCAATCTCTAGGACTCCAAAAAATTAATGATTTAATTTTAATATTTTTTTTTTAAACCTGACTATTAAAATGCCTATCTCCCAGCTGTTGGAAGGCACCACCACACAAGCTACTGAGGCTCAACAAAGGATTTGACAGAAGGCTACAGATCTGCACCGTACTGGGCTAAGAATTTTTGTAGAAGGAATGGCATGCATATTAAAGGCAGCTGAAAGAAAGATTAAACTCAGCTAGTGCTTCCCAAGGGACTCCAGTGCTTTCCCAACACAGAACCGTACGTTCATATCCCTTCTAGTTTTTGCCCTCAGTGTCATCTTCATCTTTCATGTCCAAACACCACAAAATAAAAGCCAACTATAATGCATGTTACACAGACAGATTTCTTTGCATCACTGTAAAGTTCAATCCTACCCTGATTCTGGCCTCTGAAAACTGTCAGCTCGATGCATCTAAAAAAATCACTTGGTTGCTTTAAATAAAGATCCCTTTTAAAAGTAATGCTGTCAAAGGCAGTGGAAAAGCTTGGGGTTTTTCCTCATGTTCATCACTAGCTCATTCAATGGTAAATTCCTGGAAAGGCTCCAAATAGCTGCATCCAGCCCATTGCCCAAATCCGTACGGATGTTTTGTGCCAAAATTAATATATACAGCTACTGCTTATAAGGAAGCTTTCCGAATAAAACCAGTGGTAATGGTTGTTACACTACTCTCTATTTCGTACTACTGTCCATTTTCTCGTTTGATGGTTGCCTAAAATTTATTAGTCTGTTGGGAATACATTCCATTTTAGTCAGTGATCTTATTAGCTTTCTCAGACTAAAGAAGGATAGCCTGATTTAATACTGGTGAGGGACACATCCAAGGAAAAACATACTGCCAAGTGAAGAGGAGGTATGCTTCTTTGCAGACAACACTATTCCAACGACTCTGCTAGACAACCCTGAAGATAAATATTTTTGGACAAAGTTATCTCCCAGATGAAAAGTCAAAGAGAAGTTCTGATTTGGTAGTTTTACTAAACATCTTGTAAAAGACACCATGAGAAAAAGTGATAGTAATTTTGTTTCCAAGTTGAGTTCCCCAAGTGACATAAAAAGCCCAGATAAAACACCTCTCCACAGTTACAGCCTCGATTATTCTGTGCCATGTCTCTGTGCCATCAGAACAGCTGCCACAGCTCATTCTCCATGTAGCCAGAGGACAGAGAAGCACTTCCTTTTCCAGAACATACTCCAACATTCATGCATTAAATTTATTAGACTATATTAGGTCACGTGCAACTTCAGCAACTTGCTAATTACAACTAGAAAATTTTTTAATTTAACGAACAGAAAAATAATCGGTGTTTCCAGACCTACCATGGCAATATTGTAAGAATGAAACACTGATTATCTTCTACTAATGAAAGAAAACCCAACCAGTAAGTATTCCTTCTCTCCTCCCAAAGACCCATCCACTCTTACTTCTCCCCCAGTCCTCAAAGGGATGGCTTGTGCTTTCACTAAAAAAACCCCAGCAAAATGTAAACATGAAGCCTATTAAAAGATAAGTGATGCTTCACATGCACACAATTCGTAAAATAACTTCAATTTGAAGAGCAGCCTTGAATGTGGCCAGCACTTACCCATGAAGAAGTCTTTTGGTAAGCAGAGTTAAATTATTCCTCCTACAAAGGAATGCTGAAAAATACACTTCTTAACAGTCAGAAAGTGTATGGAAAAATCTTCTAAAGAAGGCATTCAAACTTTTATGATGATTTTAGCCTAGTGAAGTATGCAATTCATCAGAGAGTTCATTTTTTTTTAAGAATGCCAGAGACACGAAGCACTGAAAAACAGCTCTGAGAAACAATAAGACCATCTACTAGCAGAAGGTAAAAAGCTTCCAGCAGAAAAAACCAAACTTATCAATGCCCCAAACAATATTTTCTATGAACAAAAAACATGAACTCAGAGCAATAATCCCAATTTAGAAAGCCAACTGTATCCTGGGCTGCATCCAAAGCAGCGTGGGCAGCAGGGCGAGGGAGGGGATTCTGCCCCTCTGCTCTGCTCTCCTGAGAGCCCCCCCTGGAATACTGCGTTCAGCTCTGGGGTCCCCAGCACAAGAAGGACATGGAGCTGCTGGAGCAGGTCCAGAGGAGGCCACGAAGATGATCCGAGGGCTGGAGCACCTCTGCTATGGAGACAGGCTGAGAGAGTTGGGGCTGTTCAGCCTGGAGAAGAGAAGGCTCCGGGGAGATCTTATAGCAGCTTTCCAGTACCTAAAGGGGCTACAGGAAAGCTGGAGAGGGGCTTTTTACAAGGGTGTGTAGTGATAGGACAAGGGGCAATGGCTTTAAACTGAAAGAGGGCAGATTTTGATGAGATCTAAGGAAGAAATTTTTTCCATTGAGGGTGGTGAAGCTCTGCAACAGGTTGCCCAGAGAAGTTGTGGCTGCCCCATCCCTGGAAGTGTTCAAGGCCAGGTTGGATGAGGCTTTGAGCAACCTGGTGTAGTGGAGGGTGTCCCTGCCCATGGCAGGGGGGTTGGAACTATATGATCTTTAAGGTCCCTTCCAACACAAACCATTCCATGATTCTATGATTATTTCTATTATTACTGTCATAAAAATACTCTGTCTTTGTAAGGATGAAGTGCTACCTAAGTATATAGTAAGAAATGTTCATGAACTTCATAGTTGGAGACTGTTATTCCCACTTTTCAGGGTGACAGAAACTCTAAGCCACCCGCGCCGAGGGCAGCACCCTACAACGCATCCTTGAAATCTCACACTCAAACACCAAACACTTCAGGAGCAGCCAACGCTTCTGCTTTGATTTTTTTTTTAAAGATTATGATAATCTAAATACTCGCTCTTTTTCTCGGGTCTCTCTGATACTCCCTGCGTGAAGAAGACAGATTGTTAAGCAGGAAAAAAGTTGTCTAGCCCTAACAGTTTTTTTTGTTTGCCAGTGCCCCAAAGTCAGGCCTGTGATTTCATCATGTAACTTAACAGAAATACTTTTTTTTGAAGTCAGAATGTCATGAGTATTCTTCTGCTACCTTAACACAGCAGCACACAGGGACTATTTTTCTGCTTGCTCCAACAGATTTACGCCAAGACATAAATCACTGCACCATAATAGTTCACTTTTAACAAGTAAAAAATGTCTGACACTTTGAGTGTTACTATAATTTTTTATGGTTGAAAGTGTACAGAGATCAAAGTTTCCTGGCTTTTTTAGGCTTGCTCTATACATTCAGACAAGTCTGTGACAGAGGGGGTTTTGCCACATGTTTAAATGTAAAGTCTCAAGGATGTCAGGAGGAGAAAAAAAAAAAATTACTGAATGTCACGTTTCCAGCCCTTTGTATGACCAAAGCAGAAGCAGACACACTTTTAAAAAGAAAACTTTCTAGTAATATTATATGCTGCTACTGTTCCCTCTGGATTCCCCTGCAAATGAGTCAAGAGCTTGAGAGATACTTTTCTGGTAACATGCATAAACAGATAAATAAATTATCACAGGCTGAGGACAATTTAAACATCTGAGAGGCAGCTCAGGGCTGTCAAGCAAGTCATAGACACTCAGAGACGGGAAAGATCAATCTTCAGCCCCTGATTTCTGTGCCAGAACTACATCACTCACCCTCTATAAGAGGAAAACTGTATATTTATAAAATAATCTGCTGTGCTTCTGTATTCAAAGACATTTCTATTCATTTATTTCACCAGGCAGGGGGGAAGCAATCTCAAAATCCATGGATTCAAACTACCCACGGGTTTGTCTCAACTATCTGCTCAGTGAAGCATTTTAAATTTTCCATCCATGTGGCTGTGTAGTAAGCTGAATTTTCAGAATCAAAAAAGGAACAGGATTTATAACAAAATGCAAAAAACTGCAAAAGCAATAGTTTCTAGTCTGCCAGACTAAACAATCTTGTGTCCAAACTGTTACCTTCACCCACTGCATACAAGGGCTGATATTCAGATAGTCCTGGCAACCGACTCCTATGGTCCAACGAAGGCCAATAAATTCGCCAGCACAGTCCAACAGCTAGACCTGGGGATGAAGAGTTCTAAGTCCCAACTGCCACCCAATCACACTGACTACAGGGGAATTCATGTTCACTTTTCCTTGCCTCTCTCTTTTTTTTTTTTTTTTTTTTTTTTTGCATGAGGATAACCCTTTCCTGCCTACGTGGCCAGATTCAATATATGTGAATTTATATGTGAATTTATAGACATTCTCGACTGAGGATGTTTAAATTAAAGCTTCAGACACACAAGCACCACAGTTCTACTTCTCATGACTTCTGGCTGACACAGCTGAAACTCTGCTGCAGTTTGAATCTCTGCTTCGGAGCCCTCCAAATCTGCTTTGCCAGTAGCAGAGATTCATTTGGAACTCCTTATGCAGTCACTTAGCTTTTTATAAAACTTAGTTTTATCTACTCTGAGACAGCTGGATGAAAAGGAAAATCAAACTGCAAACAGAGCCAGGATTTACACAACATGGACGTTATGGATTTGCTATCTTTCATCCCATCAGTTCACCCTCAAAACCAGTAGTTATAGCCTCAACACAGCCAAAGCTAAGGCAGCTGGCAGAACTGCCAACACTTGATTGCTCTGCAGTGCTTAAAACATTCAGCGTAGACAACGGAGAAGGTGTATGTGGCCAAAAAAACCCCAATTCCTTCAGTTGTCTTCTCTTCATTCCATCTTTCACACTTCATGTACTAACTCGTTACTCTTAACCTGGCAAGGGAAGTATTTCCTTTCTGGAGACACGTATGATGGATTAAACCTCTGTCTCCACTACTTAACATCTTTGTTATTACCTCAGCATCCCTACATTACCACAAGTCATTCCTCGAGTCCAAAAGCTCGTTACTTGCTAACAGCCTCTTTCACTTGAGGGGGGGGGAAAGAGCCATATTTTACCAGGTACGTATTCACATTAAAGAAATACTTCCAACATCTCTGAAAAAATACCTTCTTCTGTTAACAACTAGACTTAGGACTGTTAAAAATGAGACAACTACCACATTTAGTTTGCTTTCCACCCTTTAGAAAAGTGGTTTTTGTTATTTCACTTGATTTAGGTAATAGTCTGGTGTTCTAGCTCCCATGTATGAAGCCCACTGTTGTTTTGCTCTTGATATTGCAGGTACAGGCACCACTAAATGATTCAAGCCTTTCTTAAAATACAACATTGCATTTTCTAATGTTTCTGATTTATTTACAAATATAGCACGTTTGTCCTAAACTCACACACGTAACAGTGATGTCAGATTATGGGCCACGTCGTATACTCAAATACAAACAGAAGACAAAAATTAACTCACTCAAACCAAAACTTTGGAAGGAAGACAATAGCGTTGCTTTAAGTAAGTGCACTTTTTAGCGAACAACTCAATGCTCATGAAGATTTTCACCTCTGTACTGCCACGGGTAACTGATTTGGACAAACTTTCTTTTTGTTGGTACTGTCATTATAACAGCAGCTGTTGAAGTTTTGCCATTTCAAGCATACGGTACGTGCCTCCCCTCCTTGACATTCTTCAGTTCCTCTTTTCGTTGCACTCCACCTTACTTCGGCATGTCCTCAAGAGGCCTCCTCCGTTCTCAACACTTAATCTCTGAAACTTGTCTTGTCCATCAAGACACATGAACTTGGACAGCACTTCTGATGTGCCTGAAAACTGTAACTGTTAGGAAGAATGCAATTCACAGGCTCCAGACTGCTTCCATTACACAACATTTTCTGGAGTCTCTTGGTATTACTGTGCCAGTTACGGAAAATTTTCTGTTATCTGGCAGTATTTTTTTCCATAAAATAATGACTATTTGTACAAATACTTCAGTCACCATTGAACTGTTATGGTAAAGAGAGATACAACAATCTGAAGTTTCTAAGTTGAGGGAGGTGAGGCACTGGAACAGGTTGCCCAGAGAAGTTGTGGCTGCCCCATCCCTGGAAGTGTTCAAGGCCAGGTTGGATGAGGCTTTGGGCAACCTGGTGTAGTGGAGGGTGTCCCTGCCCATGGCAGGGGGGTTGGAACTGGATGGTCTGTGAGGTCCTTGCCAACCCAACCCATTCTATGAATCAGCAGACTGTGCAGTGATTCCTCCACTTTATATACACAGGCAATGTCGAAGTGGACAGCCTAAGAAACAGGAAAAAACCAATTCTCTTACCTCATAGCCAAACTGGAGTTCATCTGAGGTCAGCATAATGATATCATCATCAATAGCCAACACAGCTTCTGTTTCAATCTCATCATAGGGGAAGAAGCGGTTACTAAGTTTGTTCTCTGCAGTCCTAACAACTTTCAGGGGAACACGAATCTTTGGCCAGAGGGAATCTAGAGAGAAAAATTAAAAGAAATGGAATTCAATATTGTACTGTACTTCTGAACAAGTCTGCATTTCAGTTTCTCTTTACTCTTTTTTTCATCACATCTTCAACAAAAGCTTCTTAATGGCCAGTTTACACCTGATTTTCAGTTAGGCAAACACGTAAGCATATGAAGGCAAGGAGTTCAGCTACATTTCCCTCTTTTGCTCTCCATGGAGAACTTCACAGACAGCTACATGGGGAGCAGCTTGCTCACAGCAGCAATCAGTGATAATCACGTTAACGAGTCAGAGATGTATTGGTTTAGGACACACAGCAAGAAAAGGCATTTTATTCAACTGCATTTATTTCTATTTAAAAGAATTTGAAGGAGCAGTATACAATCACTGACTCCAAGTCTAGGGTGGTAAAGAGTTTGAAAAAGAATGTTAGTTTTATCAAGTGCTGAGAAAAATAAATTTTATTGTATCGATTAAAAATCTAGATTCACTTCAAACGTTAATCGCTGTTGACAGTTAAGGAGTAGATGCTGTGTATGAGAAATTTCTTTCATCTTCAAAGTCCTAAGTGACAGTGATAAATTAAGCTAGATAAATGCAAAAGGATTCTACTCGTGCCCTACAGCATCCTTACAAGTAGGATAGTGCACTGGAGTACATAATCATGAAAATTCACAAGTCAAATGATGCTTTAAGTAGCAACAAAAAAAACTGTAGATACAAAACTGAATCTAATTCACTCTACAAGGAAATTAGATTTCCATTTCTTGCTATGTGCTTAAAATGCAGCACCTTAAGTGTCACATTAAGAGTTTCTGCAGGCTGTTGCATATATTCAAAATTTTTCACAATCCTGTTCTATTCCTACAAAAGTAGAACTGCAGGCATAAATATAGAGCACCAAGCTAAAAGAAACACAACTAAGGGCTGAATATTAAGCATCAATTTTAAATGCACATATTTAACCACATACATTTTCTAGCACAAAGCTTAACCGTAGTCATTATTATAGTACGACGCATCCCGAAAGCACCAATTCATCAAAAAGTATTTTAATTAATAGCTAAACAAGTACAAATGTGATTTGTTGGTTTCTTCCAGCTTTCATAACAAACATACATTTTAATGGAAATTGGAGGGAAAAGAAAGCATTGTAAGATGAGTCTAAGGACCTTGTGAACAGTAGATACATGAACACTTGGGTTTCTTACATTCGTGAATGGAGAGGATGACAGCGGTATGCGATAAAAAAAATAGGCAAAAATACTTGAAATCAACTACAAAGTGACTGCTCAGAGAATTTACAAGTTGTTCTCTGTGTCAAATGAAAATATGTTTAAGGAAACACCTCAAGGGTGTCTCCTTCCCCTCTACTCAGCACTGGTGAGGCCACACCTGGAGTACCGTGTCCAGTTCTGAGCTCCTCAGTACAAGAGAGCCATGGACATACTGCAGAGAGTCCAGCAAAGAGCCACGAAAATGGTGAAGGGACTGGAGCATCTCTCCTACGAGGAAAGGTGGAGAGGGCTGGGACTGTTTAGCCTAGAGAAGGATCAAGGAGGGTCTCATCAGTATGCACAAAGACCAGAAGGGAAGGTGTGAAGACAGAGCCAGGCTCTTTTCACCAGTGACCAGTGACAGGACCAGATGTGGGTGCAAATCAAAAGACAGAAGGTTCCTTCTGAACATGGAGAAATACTTTTTCACTGTGAGGGTGACCGAGCACTGGCACAGGTCACCCAGGGAAGTGGTGGAGTCTGCACCCTTGGAGGCATTGAAAAGCCATCTGGAGATGGTCCTGTGCAACCTGCTCTAGGTGAGCAGGGGGGCTGGACAGGATGATCTCCAGAGATCCTTTCCAAGCTCAGCCATCCTGTGATTCTGTGTTAAGTGGAGTCTCTAAGAACTGACACTGGGCCTGGAGTCACTGAAACTTTCAACAGTGATCTGAAACACATATAAACTGCCAGTGCAATCTGCAAGCAACACCAAGCCAGAAGACAAGAAAAACAGAATGGCCAATAAGGCCATAAGCAGACATAGTCAGACAGATGCTAAAATACTGTTTGATTCTGGTGTTTGTATTTTTCAAAGCATGTTAAAACACTAGAAATGGTGCAGGAAAGAACCACTTCACTTATTTGATGGTAGGAGAAAATGCCTTACAGTGGAACTTGGAGATCAATCTGTTTAGATGACCTCTGAGGTCCCTTCCAACCCAAGCCATTCTACGATTAAAAGAAGGAATGAAAAGTAGATTTGATTAACATGTACAAGTATCTACACACGAAGAAAAATGCCACATATCTTCAACCAAGCAGAGGAAGACATAACAAAAAAAAAAAAAAAAGACTGGAATCTGAAGCCAGGCAAATTCAAAGTATAAATAAGGTAGACATTTTTAATAGTAACAGTGATTAACTTCTGGAGGAAGTCAACAAGGACAGCAGCTGATACTGTGCACCTTGCCTTTGAACAAAACTGGGTATTGTTATAGAAGATGAGGTCAAGTTAGATGGACGTCACTGGATTGAAAAGAAAGGTGATGTGGTGACTCCTGAGTTACAGGTCAATCCACAAGATCTTTCCATCTGCTCTGCCTCCAACTCTAAGAACCTATGAACGGATACAAGTAAAACTTGCTCCCATGAACGAGTGTCCACCTCCTCATCACCACTGGGCCTCTCAGATTTAACACAACACTTAAATAAAACCCAGAGCTGCACACTGCTTAAAGACACCAGAGTCCAAACGTTACTTCACTGGGAAAACAAAGCCATCTTTCCAAACCGCACCAAGAGTCTTCAAAAGTCAGTTTTTCTTGGAGCTGAACAAAAATGTTCAAGAGCCATGGATTCCAGTTAGGGTGCAATGAGCTCATTTTATTGTCAGCATCGTGAAGTCTTTGAAATCCCCTGCTTGAACCACAATCTGAAACAATGATTCCAGAAGGACACCTCTGAAATTCCAGATTTTCATCTTGCTAGTCATCCTCACCTCAGGAGGCAGTAACACTGAACGACTGGAACCATTTATTGCAAATTAGTACTCTCAAGTCAACTCACTGCTTTCTTATGGTTTACCATACAACACATGAGTATCCACATTTCTAAGACAGTTACAGGTATGTCATAAAGACACGTATCATGGCCTCAAGACATGCCACTTGCATAAAAATATGGTAACGGAAGAAAAATAATAAGAAGGGTATGAAAAATGAAGGTGTAATCTAATTATAAATCAGCATCTCAGATGTCAGCTAATCCTGCTAAATCCACGTGATTTACTCAGGTTTTGGAAAGTCTCTCAAAACGACCAATTCTCAAAACAAGGTATGTTACTGTAAAATATCTGTGCTTTGAGAAACATGAAACAAACTTTCTGAATTTGGACTTAAAGGACAGCAGGCTCCACTCAGATCCAAGTATTCCAAACTAGCCATGCTGCAGGAACACTAAAAGAAATATATAGTCAATAAAAAGAAAGACAACAGCTACTTCAGAAGCCGAAGTTTTAGAATCCATCAGGAAGGTTAAAACTGTCTATATTTATTTCAAAAGACCACAAAAAGGAGAGTATTTGTACTTTTCTTTTTTATGCAAAGGAGGAAGGTGGCTTGACGAGAAGTCAGAGGCAGGGTCTGCCACTTCTGCAGTACCACGCTCCGAATTTTTTGGATACTGCTTGGAAAGTTATGAGAAATCCCAGCACCAGCAAAACATATATGGGGGAAATTTTCAGTTTAGTAGACCTTATCACAACACGTGCTTTACTCTTAGAGTAAGAAGGCACTGCATCACTTAACAGAGTATGACAAAGATAAAATGCTCAAGACAAGAAGACAGATGAAAAAAATGCATGTTTGGACTAGAAATTACTCTTCTTTTAAAACCAGTGAGGACTTTCTGTGATATAGCAGAAGACTGGGGTAAAATAGGAAAATAAAGCTCTCTGGAGTGTATAAAAGTCTATGCACATACAGAGTCTGGAGAGAATAACAGGCACCTCCTATTGCACATCGTACTGAAATAATTAACTGTTTAATTAATTAACACTCACACTTGCTCCTTGGCAACAAGACTCAGGGCGTTCTTGGAGCTTTGTGCTATTTAGGACTATTGATGCACTGATAGCAGGAGCTGCCCACAGAAACCAGCATGTGGTCTTCAAAACACAGAATCAGCATTTTTCCCAACTTTTCCAAAAGCAGCTTCCACTTCTACTCGGCTAACAATCCCTACCAACCACATACGTGGATGCATTTCTGCCCAGCCCACAATCCCACCACGAAGTCCTGTAAGTCCACATCTCCCAGCAAATTTTTCAAGCATGATTTCAAGACTATTTCCACAAAGTGCAGGATCGAAACAGCGCCGAAATTACATTCCCATTTAAAACATTCATATACAGAAGAGCAGCAAAAAAAAACAACAAACCCATCCTCTAAATATGCATTTCTCAGCTATGACTCCCAGTGAATTACATGGAAGACATAAGGAAGAATAACATAAAGGAACAACTTCTCACACCAAAAAAAACCCTTTCACTTTCCCCATCTCCTTAGGCTTGTCATCAGATGTCTGTAACAAAAATGTAAGCAACATAAGTCTGCAAAATGCTTGTATATAAAAATGAATTCTTAGTCTGAAATCCAGTTTCTCAGCTTTAAACAAACTGTTACTTCGTACATAAAAGAGGGATCATTAAAAATAATAGTGAGTAATATTTCTATGGAGTGTATTATCTCCTTTCAAAGAGAAATGGCACCATCATGTTGCTAAATAGCATCCATCACTCTCTGTACCCTTGCTTCTGAGAAACTGGGAAGTTAACAGTGTCTGAAGGGGTCCTGTAGCAGCAGATCACACGATCATGGAATGGTCTGGGTTGGAAGGGACCTCAAAGATCATCTAGTTCCAACCCCCCTGCCATGGGCAGGGACACCCTCCACTACACCAGGTTGCCCAAAGCCTCATCCAACCTGGCCTTGAACACTTCCAGGGATGGG